TTAGTACATTTATTTTTTAAGGGTCCATTATTGATGTTTAAGAAGGATCTTACGCCCAACTGCATATTTAGCTCATTAGAATAGAAAAAGCATGGAAAATGTAGCTAGCAGTGATTCCCCAAGGTCGCAGCTCTAATTACATTAACATCCTTCCACGTGATTCAATTCTGTTTTCTGTGCTGGTATCATGGGGAGAATAACCCTCAGCCCCACCTACATGCAGAACTTACACACTAAAAGAAACTAGCCCACCTCTATAATTACTTTGCTTTTTTTTTTACACAGCTTGTAACTGTTAGAGGATTTGGATCTTATAGACTTTTGGAACCCAAAAGTAGTGTTCACTACATCATAATAATTCCCACATTTGAAAGAAGTGTAAATAAAGTTGGTGTAATGGTGACAGTAGCAGCCATTCAAAATGGCCCTTCCCAGTCAAACGCCAGCCAAATGGCAGCACACTTGCCTCCCAGCGAAATCCCCTCCAACTTCCAGCCACTGGAGAGACCCCCTCTTGCATATTTTTTACTCTGATCCTTTCACTGAATTACATGGTCTGACAAGGAGATAATGCTTCTCTTTAGATTTTAATGTCCACAAATCATGACAGAAAGAATATTTTTGTACCAGTATTGACGTTTAAAAATGAACTGCAGGGGACCAGCCAAGGGCACATCAAGGAAAGTGGGGAAATTTTGAAGGGCTACTACTCTAGACGAGCTTTCACATTAAACATTGCGATCGCTTTGTGCCAGAGCCTGGGTTCTGGATCACACCAGTTTTAACCCATCCCACACCATAAAACAAACTAGAAAATGTTTGTTTTTTTGTTTATATTGTTATTTAAATTAAAATTCAAAAGGGAACTCCCAAAGAAGCCATAAAGCTTAGAATCAGGGACCTAGACATACAACAAAAGAAAATACACTCAAAATGGAAAAATACAACTTTACAGAAATACAGAAAACACAAAATCCCCATCCCAAAAATCCTCATACCTTTCTTTATGCAGTACACATCACATTATCAAGGCTGGATCACGTAATTAATCAGAAAACATCTTCCTTTACACTTAGACAACTTTTATTTTCATGACAGCTTTCCAGTCAGTAAATGAACATTTCTATTCCATAAAATGCAGCAGTGACCAAACGTAAACTTAAATGACCATCCCCTGTGACATTTTATTACTGAATGTGTAAAATTTCTACTATATATTAACAGCAATGGCAATAATATTGCCCATTCAACATGTGGTGGACTGTGGGCTTACGAGTAGCCTGAGCAAAATAAATAAATCAAAGAAGTGGCCGACCATGACTATGAAGCCGATCCCTGTGAGAAATTTGTCCTCCACATAAGTCCCTAACTATGTAGGGGCAGTGATAGCCATGCCAGTCCAGGGACTGACTGCAGTTCTACTCTAAGGTGCCTTGGTCAAGGTCAATGACCAGTGTACCTGACATGTAACAGCTTACCATGCATAGTGCTTTAGGTTAATAGACTATATTGATTAGGCTATGGATGCATGCAAAAAAACAAACAAAAAAAAAAAATCCACCATCTCACCTTTTGTTTTTGTTTTTCAATGAGACTGCTGGCTTTATCCTATTAACAGTTTAGCTGCAGCTCGGTTTTAGATGTCTGTGTTTTTTTGTCTTCTGTTAAAGTTTTCATTATGTACTTCTACTGTGATGTATTGCCTATAATCTGTAAAGCACTTTGCTGCTATGGCAAATAAAGTTTGTATGGTATGGTTTAAGATTTTTTTTTTTTTTCTGATTTATGTTCCATTTGCAAAAGCCATAGGAGAGCAGCTTAAAGCCAGTTTGGAAAATTAGAAACCTGGCTCTTTGGAAATAAAACATAAATAACTAGAAAAGCAATCGGAGAGTGCAGACCTCCACCAAACAGCTAAATTTACCCCCGTATTGTGACTTACACCTATAGCTAAAACTGGCACATGATCATTACCAAATTTTAATTTTAATGAATGTTCCTTGGCATGAGGTGCACCTTTGGTAATAATTTCCTTAAAATCCTTTCATAAGTTTATAAATAAGGCACATGTGTCTACAGCCTCTGGTGTTTGTTCTGCTCTCATCTTCTTCATTCACTCTTTCTTCTTTGATCAGCAGATCATGACTTCCAGCGAGGCAAGGCTCATCTTCCCTGTGTTTTTGTCTTCAGTTTGATACTTTTGGACTTTTTTTTTTAAGGCCAAAGCTGAAGCTGCCACTCTTTGATTTAGCGGGGAACTGCTTGTTCTGCCAAATAATGTCACAGAATCCTTGCAGATGATAACGTGGATCATCACCAAAATTAATGGATTGCTTCTTGGACTGCGGTGCTCCAGCAAATCCATTTTCTGTTCCAGCCTTACTTTAGCATATTAATGGAAAATTACTCATCCATCAGAGAACGACCAAGCAAAACTCTCACATCTAAGATTTGGTTTAGATGGAAAAGTTAACATGCATGTTTTCAGAGCTGGAAAATCTGCAAAAACATGCACAACTATAAGAAGAACATGCAAGAGGACACAGTTAACTGCTATCTACATGAACCTACACTTTGAGTCTGCAAAAGAAATCATTTTTTATTTATTTGTACTTTGTGCAAATATGATGGTTTTAAGACAGTAAAGCAGTGAAATATATCAGAGTTCACAAACATTCTTTCTTTTTCTTTTTAGATTTGACTTTAACACATTTTCCATTAAGACATGAAAATCAGGATAAGTGTTCTCTACATTCCCTCTTCACTCTCCGTGCTGACTGGAACAGACTGTACACGATTCATCCTGTCCAGGCTGAGATGGTTTCCAGAGGAAGCACAATATCCTGTTCCTGCAAAAGCTCCACTGTCTAAATGAAGCTTAAACTGGCCCCATGCAGAACTTTCAGGGGCCAGAGTGCTGCTGAAACCAAAACCTCTGGCCCCTCAGAGATATATAAAGTGGGGATCTGTGTGCCCTTCAGGCTTGATCCTTCTTTCAGCATCAGAAAAGAGTTGGTCCTAATGGCGTTAGGAGCACAGGAGGATATGGTTCTCATTTTAGCAGCAAACATTCTCCCTGAGGCTCATGCTCTTTCACTGCAGCAGCATTTTCTCCAGCGGAATCATTGTTGTGATATGCACTAAATCAAGTTTCTGTCATGTTTATCCACATGGATTTATCTTTCTCATGAGATCGCTATGCTAAATCATTTGCTTTTTAATCATTGTTAAATTATTCATGTGACATAAAAAAATACAATCATAAAAAGTGAAGCACAATCCAGCAAATGCATGAATCTAGATGATTCAAAATAGCTTAAATGTGTTTATTTCAAAGACCACTATTATACAGTCTCTGTCGTAGAATATTCTTGTGAATAAAGATGTATATGCAAAGCAGATTATTATTTTCTTTTTCACAGATTCATAACTAATGCTCCTGCTTGGGAAAAAAAATCTCCATTACTCCTTCAGCATTGCATTTTATTAGCTGTCCTTGAAGCTTCTCTGTCTTTAACAAAGACATCACCACAGCATAATGTTGCCACTACTGGGTTTTACACTTGTGTTTATCAGGGTAATCATTAATAGTAGTTTTCAACTTTTGGAAAGGAGAATTCCCTAAGGTTTTCAAATCTTACAATCTTTCATAACCTAACACGGATTTAAAGGCATTTACAACTTTCCCTGACCTGTGGCTGAGTTATGTACACTGGAAAAAGTATAAACTTGCACAAACTAAAACAAATGATGTCCAGATATCACATCTAAAATATTTGACTTCACAGAATCTGAAGTCAATCGCTTGTTATGTCCTGATTATATTATGCTGATGTAAACAATAATACTGCACTTGACACAACCTAAAAGCTTTGCCCTGTTCCAAATGATTTTCTGAACATTTCAGTTGATGAAGCATACTAATATATTGACACTGGACCAACCTAATATACTTACTTTTAACTAAATTAACAAGAATGAATGTTTGTATGGAAACCAGTTAATTTAAATATAAACAAATTAGATTTTTTTTTTTTTACATATCATTTGACTTTACTTAAAAAATTATTTCCATTTTCCATCATACAAACTCTATACACCCTGGACAGGTTGCCAGTCCATCGCAGAGCAACACAACCATTCGCGCAAACACTCACACCTAATGAGAATTTAGAGAAGCCAATTAACCCAACAATCACGTTTTTGGACTGTGGAAGGAAGCCGGAGTACCCAAAGAGAACCCACACATGCTCAGGGAGAACATGCAAACTCCATGCAGAAAGATCCCGGGCCAGGGACAACAACAAAAAAATTACCTGCAGGCCATGAATAAATATATATATATTGAGAGAAATCAAAAACTTTGTTTTGGGTCCTTTGTACGTGTTTTATTTAGTTCAGGTTGAATCAAACTTGATGTCTCAAAATCCAAAAAAGAATGAGTTACACAATCAAATCCATAATTTGATCTAGTTTAGAGTGAAAAGCATTAGTTTGAATGAACAGTTACCTGTTACACTTGTTTCTGTTGTTTTCACAATTCATTCACCAATGCTTCTCTAACAAACTTAAGCCATTTTCTTTTACTAACTGTAAGGGATTTCTATGTATTTTATCTATCTCTTTGTATGTGTGCAGAGAGCTGTTTGTTTACTAATCATTTTCTCAAATGAAATCAAATTTTATCTGATTTTGCCAATTCAAATGAATAAAATGCATACCTAGAGGCATTTAATTGCTGAAGTGAGTCTTATTAAGCATTGCACTGGCTCATTGCCATATAAACTGTTGCAAATTTAGCTTTATTTGATAAGCAGAGTCTGATTTTACTTGGAATCCTTTAAAATGGCTGAAGAGGAACTCCACCTGACAGCAGACGCGCACACCTGTGGGGGAGTCGGTGGGAGGTCCACCTGTGTGTCCCTGCAGGAGCAGCAACATTAGCGGGCTGATGAGCCCTCCTCCTCCCCCTCCTCCTTCTCCTCCTCCGTCACTCGTTCCCCTGGAAGCAGACACACACAAACCAGTCCGCTTTGCGCCCGCTGCAGGGTTCACAACTTCATCCAGCGGAATGTTCGCAAAATCCACCGTCCGCTGTGCGTTTTAAATGGGAAAGTCCTCTTTCAAGGACAATGAATGCTGCTGTCTGAGCTAGATAAAGGATTTCCAGACATGTCCAACCAACAGCGGCTCGTCCAGCTCTCCGGAGCGTCTCTGGCTGTGGTCTTCAGTCCAGACGAGGAGAGTTTACGCGCCGCCGAAGGGAAACCCAACGCCTGCGCTCCGAGCGGCCAGGAGATCTTTGCTGATTTTAAAGCCCAAAACTCGCGTAGTTTCTGGAATAAGAGACTCGTTAAAGCCATTGCTGAGGTTTACTTCCAGGGATGGATGGAAAACTTGGTGCTTTTCATTCATGGGAACGCAAACAACTTGGAGGTGCTGAGGGAAGCGTGGATGCGCAGAGCTCTGAGGTCACCAAAGGGATTCATTATTAAAGCTGTTGGTATGTAACCGCCCTCCAATAGTGCTATAAAGTTTGACCTTACAAGCTGCTCACCTAGGTGCATTTTGTTGAATCACAAAGGAAGACATGCATGCCAACAAAGGATGTATTTTATTGTGTCTAACTCCCGTTAGTATTTGTTTATAATACTGGGAAAAGGTGTCTGAAAGCTATAAACACAGACCAACACCTAAGTATTAGTTTTTCCTCTCAAGTTTATTTGGCAACCGACAAAGTTCATTAAAATAATTGGCAAAATGCTTATTTTTACAACTAAGGTGCGGTTTTGTGTTGGAGCATATAATAAAGCATGTCTACATGCTGGCATGCATTCATTGCCTGCTGAGAGACTTTCACAGCCTCACAAGCTTAAGTAAGAGATCAGGTTTTATAGCATAAGCAAAACATGACTAAATATAAAACACCTTTATTCGTGGGGGGGAAAGCAAACATTGTGCCTACTGCTGTTACCATCACACAACACAATATTAGTGGCTGTTATAAACAGGTAATTTTCCCACACTGTGCAGTTAAAAACAGGCCTTGCTGTAGTTGTCTTCTTCCCCTATTAATCAGACCACTTTTTTATCTTCTTCTGCTGATGTTTCTGAGGTTTTTATTCTACCACCAGAGCGGACAAGCGTCTCTGGATTAAAAAAACCTGGGCTAGATGTGGATGTCCACAGTGAACCTCAGGAGAACCTATGGGCCTTAATAAGACGTAAATGTGGCGCTCCTTCAGTTTCCATACCATGCCTCCTTTTTTTTAACTCTCTTATAAGGGAGGAAAATCATAGGGTGCTTATATTTGTGTGCAGCAAGAAGTGGGGGAGGGGCAGCACTGTGATACGGCCAGGGAAAGAAATCACTCCTGTATAAAGTTATGTATGTATGACAATTTTGCTTAAAATATTTTGAAAATTTTTACAACAGGTAAATGGATCCTTCCAGCTAACCTCTCAAAACATTGTTTTTTTTTTTTTAAATAAACATAATTTGCTCCAGGATATTGCTTTTGAGAGTCTAGCATGAAATTGCCTTGTGCAGAAGCACTATTTAGTGTAGATGATGTGGCTTTTTGCACAGTTTGGTGTCATTTATAGAGTGACAAACATAGAAGTATTTTTTCCATTACTTTTATGCACATGCAGTCAATGGGGATCCATGCCATTTTGAGCATTTTGTAAGCACTGTAAAGAAGAAAGCAATTACCTCTTTTCTGAAATCTTAGTTTTTATACTGCACAAATAATCCTTAAAACAATATTTATGAGAGGACAAAGAGGGGTTTGAAGGAACCCTTAGAACCCAGTTTATTGTTGATCAGTCTGCTTCCTAAAGAAGAATATAGTGAACACAATGAAATAGGAATGAAAAACTCCTCATACAGCCTCCTGTAGCCTGATCTCATAGGTAGTTAATGCCTAATCTTAGGCCTAATTATTTCGAAGAGAGGGTTATCCCCCTTTTAATGTCTCACTTTAATTCCAAAGTTTGAATGTCCTCTAAAAAAAAAAATAAAAAAAAAAAATATATATATATATATATATAGATATATATATATATATATATATATATATATATATATATATATATATATATATATATATATATGCAGAGAGGCTCCATTTTAGATTTTTACAGCATTATGAAGGCTGTCATGTTTGATCTTTACCATCTAATTGCTGACTTTGTGTCAGCCTGTCAGCTCTGCAAAGATTGAGCAGTGCACAGACAAGTCATTGGAGGAATGCACAGACCACACAGAGGGAGACCTTTGGAGGGCGTGGAATGGGGGAGGAGAGGGTGAGGCAGAGGCTGACACGCCGTCCTGGTGAAGACAGTTTATGACCCTAAACTTCTATTTAGCTCCCAAAGGTGAGACAGAGAACTTGATGCAAGGTTTTCCATTTAAATGTCCAAATATTTTTGTTAAAGATTCACTGACATTTGACACAAACTGCAAAACCTAACCATCAAATATTAATTGAACTTTATTGAGCTCACATTGGAATTTACCTCTGCATTTAGCCCATCCCCTTAGAGAGCAGTGGGCTGCCATTGTGGGGCACCTGGGGAGCAATGTTGGGTTAAGGATCAGAGAGCCAGAGTGGCAGTCTGTGGGAGTGGGGCTCGAACTCAGAACCTCAGGATTCCAAGCTCTATGCCCTAACCACTAGGCCCCCTCTCCTAAGTGACTTGTTGCATTTTACTAATATTTAAAATCAAAGATAATATGATTGCAAGATGATAGTGATTTTTTAGCACAGCTATTACTAACACAGCTCTTTCAGTTTCTTTTCCCTGGTAAAAATATAGTTTTAAATCATAGATTTCTAAAAGGTTGCCCTCGTTTTTTAACATCTTCTATTGAAAACTTTAAAGCACAACCAAAGCAATTTTGCTACAGCCTGAAGTCTTTATTTCTCTTTCTCTGCTGTAACAAACAGACAAAATAAGTTGAAATCTCATAAAAAAGGATGGTTTAAATAGTTTCTTACATCTCTGACTTCCTCTGACTTTATTTCATGCCAATCAATGGTACATCAGGATTAAGAGGACGTTTATGTGACGCTGGTCACTGGCTTATTTCTCAGTACATCTGAACCTCTAACTCAATTTTAACAAATTCTCTGCAGCGGAGCGTATTGAAGTCAGGTCTGGTCAGCTGTCAGAGTTTTGTTTAGGGCTTTCTCACTGAGAGCTGGTAAGTAGTGAATCACTGTGAAACTGGCTGCCAACTGCAGCCGCTTATCCTGCCACAAAGATTAATACCCTGTCCGTTTCACAGTCGGTCAGGGACTGTGTGGATGTCCGACTCCTTGATTGATATCAGGCCGGTAATTTAAAGGCCTTGACATTGTCCTGATATAAAAATGTCAGCTGCAAAACTGAAATGTTGTGAGTTAAGGGCTACAGTGAATTTTCAAACAACCCTATTTCCTTTCCCAGGACGGCCCAAGGTTGGGATGTGCCTTTACTGCCCCGTGGAGTTAAGTGGCTTTTTCAGTCGATGTATAAAGCTGAAGCAAGCCAGATGTGCCTGACATTAGTTGACATAGCTGAAGAGACCTCCATTTAAAGAAAAAAGAAACAACAACACAAACGCTTGAATCTTTGATAACTTCATTATCAGAGTTACCAGGCTGAGTCTGCACAGATTGTTGCTCTATCATCCATGATTGGGGGAAGTGAAAGTGGACGGGGGATTGGTGAGGTAAGAAGACAGGAGAAGGAGTTAGTATGATCAGCCTGGGTTGTTATTGTTTTGGGAATGGGCCCCAGTGGTACTGGGAATGACCTCTGCTTCAAATCAGGTCTGTGGGGTTGTTTCTCATTCTTCTCTGTTGGCTCGTTTCTTCATTCATCCTACAAAATTATGTCAGTAATGAGCAGCATGACAGCCGAGACAGCTCTAACTGTACCGTGCATAATAAGCTACAGGTTTACAGTAATCCTGGTTAGATGACACATTTATTATTCTAAACACCTGGGATCCATAAAGGAAATTCAACGTATGAGCGTAAAAACAGAAAGCAGTTTCAGTTTTTGTGGGACTTGTTTCAATAAATAAACTTGAATTTCAGCAAAATCGTTTTGTCTTGTGTAATGCAGAAAATGTCATGCTTTTTTTTTTACAGCATAAACAGACTAAATTGGAGGATTTTGTCTAGCTAAACAAACACAAAGTGAATGTGATGGTTCAGTTCATTACAGCGAGTTTGGGGACCCTGGTTTAAATGCTGCTGTCTGGAACAACCTGGGTGCTGGATGCAACAATCAGCAAGATTTAATCAATGAACTGAAGCAACATTCTTTTACTCATGATTATGTGAGAACAAGCTTGGCAGAGCGAGGATGTTTTAGACGTATTTCTTGTTTATTCCATTCCTTCTCTCAAATGTACAAAGATCATACAATACAAATGTTTCAAATTAGTGTTTTTTTTCCATGAAGGGTGGATGGGTTTAACTATGAGATGATCCACATTCAGAGCCTGCTGAGATGGTTCAGACGTTTTATTATGATGCCTCTCTTGAGAGGTTTATTTGGCACGGCCTGCTGGGTGGATTATATATACCAGCCGGCCCTAAAGTGACTGTTAATCCCCCCAAGAGGGGCTGCAGGAGGAGGGAGTCATCTGTCTCTCTTACCATCAGCGTGATGCTGTGGTAAATCAATGGTAAGAATGGTTACTAGTACCATAACTTTGCTCTTTCTGTAGATAAGATTAATCTCATTGATATTTCAGAGGAAGTGGAGAATTAACCACATTGTCGGCTTTAAGGAGCTCTGAGTATCAGTACCCCTCCATTTATTTGAAAGGTCATTTATATTTACCTCTCTTATAAAAACTACAGTTTTTTTCCTGTTGGCAAACAACGCAGGTCTCACACACACAAAAAAAAGAATAGAAAAGTAAAATGAAATAAAAATCTGAAACTAAAGAAATGCCATTCTTTTTAGGATAGCCTAATTTAAAACCTCTGTTGGTAGCCTAAACCTGCTGTCTGGCTACCTGGGCAGATAGCCCCACCAGTTAATTTGGCAATACTAGCCAGTACTTGTTAATTTACAACAAGAAAAGTGAAAGAAAGAGGTATTCTGCTTAAAAAGTACTTAAAAAATTACTAAATTCTCTGGAAAGAAGGAATAGTTGTGACATGTTTATTTTTTATTAAGGTATTTACATAATTGGATGCAACCCTTTTGTATAACTACTGTGAAAACGTGGTATTTTTAATCAATAACTTGCATTATTTAATTTATTACCAAGCTTATTAAAATTGTGCCTGAGAAAAAACACAACACACCTGAAGTTGGTTTTGGTGGCCGTAATAAAAACAAAAGTTTTATACCTTTATTACATTTTGTTTTATCTTAGCAGATAAATAATAGTAAATTACCAAATCCAGAGTAATGCAATTGTGTCCTTACATTATTTAATTAATTAATTAATTGGATTTATTTATATGTAATATTGATACAGTAGCACAGATT